GATAGTGAAGGGGATTTGGCTTTGGAAGCAGAGATATTGAAGTTCATGAAAGATAGTGAGAAACCGGAATCTTTTCCGAGCAAGAAAGAGTTGGTTGATGCGGGGAGGATGGATCTTGTGGAGGCCATTCAGAGACAGGGAGGATGGCTTGCTTTGGGTTGGGATTTCGATGATGATGGTGATAGTCAGAAGGAGCAAAAACAACAATATGGGTTGCAAGAAAATGGTCCTGAACATTTGAATTTTCTCCGAAAGGAGAACAAATGGGATGATGGGGCTCTGAAAGAGAGTGTTGGTGGTAAGGTTCGGAGTTCTAGGGATTCTTCCTTCTCCTTAAATCCTTCTTGCTCTCCATCATCGTCCGGTAGATCACTGTGAGGCTTCTAATTTTTGGTTTTACTCGTTTGTGCTTTTCATTTTCTCTGTTCATGGCAGATATCAAGTATGGTATAAAACGTTATTTCTTGAATTTCGCTACCCTAGAGTATATATGTATGGTGGGAATGTTGTATAAATACGTTATGATGTTAAAGAATGCAATCTCGTTTATTTTTGTTCTTATTATGCTCCCAATAAACAGTTGCTAACATTGACTCTTTAATTTTTAACGCCATGCCCTTTGCTCCCCTGGATTTGGTTTTCACTATTATACCAAGAATGGAATTGGATGAAAGTAGACAGAAACCGGGACATGATATATCAAAAATGGAATTGGATGCCTTTTTCTCTTCTGAAAAGTAATTGAGATTATCCTGGAAAATTCTTAACTCAATAATCTATTTACTCAGAGAAGCAGCAGAGGATGGCAGTGGTATTGAGGGGATACTGAGTCGTTTGGAGAGAGAAAGGAGCCTCAATTTTGGGTTTGGTTTCAAAGAGAAGGAAATTAGTGCTCGTGTCCCATGTAATGATCACAAAGATAACTCTCTTGCTCAACCATCCAGCATTATAGGTATGCTATGTTGATTTTATTGCCTTTGAATACCAATCACTGATTTTTTATGTGACTTGTTGCTCACAAACTTTGCTGGTTGGTTTGATATATTGCTCTCTTTATGCGGATAATAGTGAAAATTCGAAGTTGATTAGATATATTCTCTGTTCTAGTGTTTCATTACAATGTATTGGATGACATAAATGTAGCAAGTTTTGCCCTTTGGGTATTTTGCTCAGGATTTGTTACAGTACTTGAATATTATTAAATTTGAAACAGAACCCTGTGTTTTTAAATGTATCTACTGTACTGTAACACCTATATCCCTTTAAAGTTGGTCACTAGTATTTTTTTGCATGGAAGACTTAATCATAACTTTTAGTGTTTGTTTTATTGTAAAAGTCAGTTGCTGGCCCTGAAAGAACACCTTTATCCAATACTAGCAGAGGCATAATTGACTATAGTGGGGGCAAACATAGCCATGACCAGTCCCATTTTGGTGTTGAGGGTCTTAGAAACTCCAAAAATTGGAGCATTCAGAGAGCAGGGCCTTCAGGCGTGGAATTTGAAGGTAGATTGTCTACTACTATGAGTTTCTTCAACAGGTTTTTTCAGATAAGTTCCATTTGTGTTAATGCATTGTACAACTGCTGATGTTACATCTAATGAAATGGGAGAGGCAACAGATATTTCAGGAGATGACATACTTGAAATAAGAGATAGATCAAAAGAATTGGACAGAAGTAAAGAATCAATTAATCCAGATCAACTCCGTAGTCACCTTAAGCGCCTGGAGATAGAGCTTTCCTCTGCATTTTGCTCTCTCAGGTCTGATGCTGATAATGTTTCATCACAGGAGGTGGGTAACTAGTTTTTGTCCCTCTATATTTTTTGCGCCAACTGCAAAGTTCAAACACCTTTCCACTTCATATTTTTCTTGAAGAAACAGATCAAATATTTTATCCTTTCCTTCTGTTGAAATGAAAATTAGGTCATTAAAAGGGAGAATAGTTCTCCTTGGTGGGTTAGGATGCTAAAGGGGAGAAACAGTGAGTTTTTGTTTTATTCAAGGCATTCCAAAAAACTGCTTATAATGATTCTCATGTGGAAAATATTAGGTGTACAAGTGTTGAACACTATTGTAAAATGAAGATATAGATTTCTTTTTTACACGTATCAATAACTGGGCTTTCTTATATGTATCAATAGCTGGTCAAACTCGGATTGTTCAGCTTGTGGTTTAAACTTCCACCTAGTCTCTTTTTCAATTTTGGGGGTTGGTGGAGGTGTCAACTTCTTCAGTCCTTATGTTTGCAGAAAGAGAAGCAATGGAAATATTTATGAAGGAATTTAGACTTAGTGTAGCAAAAATTGATAATTATATGTATAGGCAAACTTATTTGTCCATGGTTCTAATTTAGTTTAGATTCAGTAATTTATCAATTTGGGTTCTGAGATTGTCTCCTGCAGTCTTCCTGTTTAGGATGTTTTGGTTATGGGATTATCAAACTTGAAGGTAGAGTTTCTGCGGATCAAAGGTTTTTATTTTTATTTCTGGAAGAAGAGGAGTCATTAAAACCAATGCAAATATTATGATTTGAAGTATTGTTTGCATTTCTAGATTTTCCAGATTTCCACAAAATCCTTCTTTTCCTTTTATCATATTTGTAATTCTTTCTTTAAAGGGTTGTGAATCACCTTTTTAGTCCTGGTCTTTATACTATATTAGGATGATGGAAGGTCCAAGGATGATTTACGAAAGCTTTCTGATGCTTTGGAGTTTCAACAAAATGAAATCTTGACTGCTCAGGGCAAGCTACGATCAATACGGGCAAAGTTGGCAGTTTTGGAAGGAAAGATGGCATTGTCATTAATGTATGTGTAATTTTTATGTTCATTATCATGGATGCCTTCTAACTTGTTATGATGGAGATGATTCTAACATTCCTTTTACAGAAATACACAAAAGACAGTGGAACAAAAACAGAAAAGGATAGATGATGCTCGTAGAGCTTTACGACTTCTTCGCACTGCTTACATAGTGTGGCCTAATTCAGCATCAGAAGTGCTCTTAGCAGGGTCATTTGATGGATGGACCACACAGGTTTGTCCCATTTCAAGTACAATTTGATAACAGTGTAGGTTTCTTTCGTGTTTCTTTGTTTCATTAATTAAAGTACATTTGTGGTTAAACACCAAGTGAAGTTTGCAAGTCTAGAATCATTGCATGGGTTTCTTGAGTCAGCATTCTCTATATACAATGATTATGTTTGATAGGTTTAGAAAGCAACAATGTTCTGACCCATGAGTTTATTTACCAACTGCATTGCTGTTAATCTTAGTAAATGCCTTATTCTTAAATTAATATACAACCGAAAATGTAATTTGAATCAACATGGAGTCTTTCATTCAGAATGAGATCACCCTCCCTAAGTGGTCAAGTGGCCCTCACTTCGACAAAGCATAATAGCTGGGCAGTCTGCACCATTTTCTGTGCTTAACTCAAGCAGTTGCTTTTTGACAACTCAGTTAGGTCTTAAAGATTCTAATTAACTAGAGGACTTGATATCTTAGTTAAGATCCTCTGCATGCATCTGCTTGTCTAACAATTAGCGACATATAAAACTTATAATGGCTCTATAATCTTCAGTATTCTGTCATGTCAACCATTTTTGTTATTATGAAAATGTATATTTTTGCAGAGGAAGATGGAAAGGTCAAGAAATGGTGTTTTTTCCCTGTACTTGAAGTTGTATCCTGGGAGATACGAGGTAAGATTATTCTGTCATATTATTGAAGACTGACAATTATTAATGCTCTTAGAATGAGAGACATTACCTCATGCTACAGATCAAATTCATTGTTGATGGTAAATGGAAGATTGATCCCTTGCGCCCAATTGTACACAACAACGGACATGAGAATAACCTACTTATTGTTACATAGGTGTATTGAATAGTGGTCATGAGAAAATACTGAAGAAATTTAGGTTTTAATTCTTTAATTTTTCCTTGTTAACAAGTAGAGAGGATGCTGATTAGTTTGTTGTGACAGTGATTCTTTCAATAATATGATTTACCTTCTTCCCATTCTTTTTAAACTTTGTGGTTTATATGTTGATGACTAGTTGAATACTTCTTTTAGTAGTGTGTATGGAGAAAGCACTGATATGCCTTTTAATGCAGGCAGGTCTGTTCTTACTCTTTTCTTTAAAGATTACCATACATTTAAACATCTAAAATGATAAAGTTATATTGCAGATGTCCCCCACAAAACAGCACTGGGGACGTGCAAGTGGGGGACGCCGTTAGGTTTGATTTTTGAACCCAGCTACCCCTTCGGCCCTTCCTGTTTCCCCCCCATAATTTCATACCTCCAAAAGGAAACAAAAAAAAAAAATTACTTGGCAGAAAAGTAACTAAAGAGTTGGCGCATTGACAAAGCCATCATTGAAATGAGGCAATTTGTACTCATCCTCATTCTTTCTTCTTCCATTCTAGAATGGTGCTAGTTTTTTTATTCAAATAACTTATCATATATTAATTATCAGTTTTTTTTATATTTTGTGGACAAATTTCTTCATTATAGTCCTATTGTTATCTATTGATTTTACTTATTTATTATCACTAAAATTTTCTTTCAAACTTTAAGAACTTTATATATTTCTTAAAGTTAATATAAACAAAAATATAATTTATCTCTAAATTTTTAATTAAAAAAATTCAAAAAACAAACATAGCAAAAATTTCGACACTTACACAGTTTTGCGGAGAACATTGGCAAAAAATTAAATGTCAATGTAGACAATTACATCTTTAGGAGGATCTCTAGGTGCGTGCCACTCATTTTAGAGTTATGGTTGCTCAGAGTGAAATTTTTTTCTTTTTTTTCTACTGCTAAGTAGAAATACACTTCTGTTCGCAAAAACTAATCTCCTATATACATCTGTCTTTTTTTTTTTTTTTTTTTTTATGAGTAATGAAATTTTATAGAAATGAGTAGATTTTTGTTCAGTAGATTTTTATTTTGATAAACTAAAAT